TGTCTGTTTTCATTGTTTCAAGATGATGACAAAAACATGATGACATGTTTCAAGATGATGATGATTTTATATAGGGTAAAATCTTGGACGAAGTCTAGAAATATTTTGAAGATAAACTTCAAAGCAAATCTTCCTGTGTGCCCTAGTCTTGCTTGGATGCCTTTAATGCTATGTTTTTGTCAGTGGCAGTGATTATGGGTAAGGCAAGAAAACCATTAGATTTAAAATGTAGACTTTTAAAACTTGTTTTGCAGGTCTTTATCAGTTTGTGCTTGTTCAGGAAGTTTCAGTGTTTCTGCAGCTATGACTTACTAAATTATTATTAACCACTGAAATAGATCTCTGAGATCCTAGTTAGATGCAGTTATAATTACTTGGTGGGAAAGAGTAGGAAATAAAGCAGTAATGAAAACTTCCTCTCGGTGTACTAGTCACATTGATTGTTCTATAGGTATATACTCTAACAAGGTGTTAATCAAGCACACCTCACACACCTCATGGTGCATCAAGATCTCCAGGTCCCTTTTCTGTAAAATTCTCGTTACATTTATAGAATATTACTTTCTTCTTTCTAAATAATCTATTTTCTACTTTTTCCTCTTACAATTCATTTAGTTTATAGCATCTCCAAGTTACCAGATTAATTTCTATCACAACCTTACTTTGTAAGGGTTATGGTTTCTTTTTTGTTAGAGTGTGATTCACAATTCTTCCAGATATGTTTGCTATCTTTTGTTCAGATTATTGATAATGTAGTTTGATACTGCTTGACTAGTCCAGGGAATATTTCCTTGCCAGATTGCTAATTACTTTCGGTATTATTTCTTTTGAGGAAATTCCTCCCATGGTTGCATGTCTTTCCAACAGTATTTTGCTTCAGGTTCAGAAGAATTTTATGTCACCTGCATTGTTGCCTGGTGAGGGCTCTCCACAGCCCACAGAGGTGATATTGTGGCCTATAGAGTTTGTAGATGCACATACTGGGAAGTTTTTAGGATGCCAAATATTTACTCATAGACTTTGGAAGCAAAGTATGTGATCCTTTTTGGGGTAGGACTTTATATTAGGATGGGTGGAGGAAGTAGATGACCAAGGAAAGAGTGGGTGTCAGAAGATGTCTGGTGTTGCAAAGGGATCTTTTGGGAAGGGGAGCTTGGGGAGAATGATGAATATTGCGTAGAATGTTCTAAGTGGATTGCAGGTGGGTGGCAAGAGATAAAAAGACATAAAGAGGCCTAGGGTCAGATAAGGTAAACGAGGCTGGGTTCACACATGGTAGTATATGCTTTCATGGCTTTTCAAATGACATTAGCAGATTTATGGCCAAAGCTTAGCAAAAGATGGCCAGATGAATTATTTGAAGGGTTTTTCTACTTTTAGAAATATTTAGTAAGTTAAAAATAGAGATTAAAATACAGGTAGGGGTGCAGGTCATCCACCTTGGCTAGACATGGGAATCTGACAAGAGGAAACGTATTTTTTCCTGTTATCTTTCTCTATATTCTCCTGATACAGTTATATGTTTACCATATCAGATTGTTTCACATCATGGATTCTTTGCTGGAGATTTTTTTTCTTAAAGAGATTTTGTTCTAATTTTTTTTAAATACAGTAGTTAATTTCCACAGATAACACCTACCCCTTAAGAACATTTTTCTAAGATATGGATAACAGATGCAAATACTATTACATATACAATATTGCATTATCAGTAATAACAAACACTAGTCTATGGGTGGATACATAGGCAGACAGATGAGAAGATCAGCTGTGGGTAGGCAAACAGTAATGTACTCATGACCATTGACAGATTTGGCTAATGGTTCTCTTACATGTCTATTTGTGCTACAAAAAGTATCTATATATATTATAGAACTAACAGGGGACAAGCTTGGATTAATTTATTAGCCACAACCAAACACTTTGAGGGAGTGAGTTACTAGGCCTCCAGGCTTGGGATCATGGTCTTGGGGGACATCAAGCTCAACTGGCATGACATAGTATATAAAAATATTATTTTACAGCCTACTTTGGTGAGTAGCAACTGGGGTCTTAAAAGCTTTTGAGCGGGTATCAAAGATACATCTATTGGTCCTTCCTCATCTGGAGCAAAGAAGAGTGAAGAAAATATGCAAACAATTAGTTCAAGGGACTAATGGACCATGGGAATGTCAGCCTTCATGACCCTGGGACCAGAAAAACTAGTTGATGCCTGGCTACCAGTGCCAACCACTCAGAAAGGGATCAAAATTGGAGATTCTGGATAGAGTGGGAGGAAAAAATGTAGAGCAAAATGCAAAAGCACAAAAATGACCAGAATTACTGGTTGACTAGAGACTGATGAAACCCCCAGACAATGGTCCCCGATTATCCTTTGGGCCTGGAATTGGATTCACTTCCCTGGATTAGCTTTTAGCCAAATAATAGAAAGGCCTACAGTGAGCAGAACACCTACCCCAGCCAGATGCATCCTTTAGAACAATCAACCATGAGAGATGAGAAGGGCAGCATTTGCATGAGGGGTGGCAGAGCTAGACAGACAGGAATGCATAGGTAAGAAGGACACAGAGAAGGGCTAATCACAGGGAGGAGATGGGAAGAGAGCTCTTTATCATTGGGATTGTCATGGGTGACATGAAACAAAATGCTTGTGGACTGTTGAGGGTAAAACAAATCTGCTTTGTAAATTTGTACCCAAATCACAATCAAAAATTGAAACAAAAACAAATCTGTCTAATTGCTTACAGTTTATAGGGGAAATATTATGATACTGAGCTTGAGAAAAGCAAGAAAAAGAATTTGAGTGAGGAAACTCAGATTTTGATTTGTTCTCCTCATAACGGCTAATGCTACTTATCTGGTACAAAGTTAACTATCAAATGTGCATTTTGAAATGTTTAATAGATCTCTTTTTACTTTGGTTGATTTCTCATTGGGTTTGGAGAAGTAGCATGCAGTCCTTCCTGGAGCTTATAATGTTCAAGTAGGAGCAATAAGAGTTTAGAAATGCAACATAATATCACTTTAACTCCTTCCTGAAGCAGATGCACTTTCAATAGAGACTTCAGGGCAATTTCAGTAGCAGTTCAATTTCCATAAATAAAGACTAAGTCTCCAATTTGGTCTGTTCCCATCAACTTTTATCTGAAATACTGTCCCCTGAGAAATGTCATTAGTGCTTCCAAGGAGGTATCTCCAGAGAAATAAACTAGTATATAATCCATACCTGTAAAAATAAATCAAACGAAATTCAGGAGGTTGCCTTGGTTCTGCCGTTGTTGTTGAACTAGATAAAGTGCAGCAAAGTATGGCATGGAAAAATGATTGAATTCTGGCTAGAGATGAAAATGCTGCAGTTGAAAACTTTCCAGAACAACATGTACTTGGATCTGTATTAAAGAAAAATTCTTTGAGTGTGTAAGCCAAATGACCCAGCAGGGTTGATAGTGTGAACCATATTTCACAGTTGTATAAGGAGCCCTGGTGGCACAGTGGTTAAAGCATTTGGCTGCTAACCAAAAGGTTGGCAGTTTGAACCCACCAGGTGCTCCACAGGAGAAAGAAGTGTCTATCTGCTTCCTTAAAGATTACAGCCTTGGAAACCCTATGGGGTGGTTCTACTCTGTCCTTTATGGTTACTATGAGTCAGAATCAACTGGACAGCAGTAGGTTTGGGTTTTAGGGTTCCAAATATTTAAAACTGTTTGTTAGCCTATAAACAAGTAAATTAGGTTATTATTATTATTATTTTTAAAGAACTGTACAATCAAATTAACCTGCCCACCTTACCTTGTTTGGGAAACCTGCCCTACTCATCCTATCCTGAACTCCTGAAAGGGAATGGTTGAAAAAGAAGTGTGATAAAGGTATCCAACCAGGAAGACAAAGCTGGTTTATGTTTCAGAGGATTTCAGACGGGATCATTAGCATCATGAGGCAATGCTCCAGATCGTCTGTTTTCAGAGGGCCTACCTGGCTTTGGGCAGCCCTGCCTATCTGTCACCTGGGGCCAGACCAACTGAACACAGTAGTTTTTCATCATAAGCCCTTTTGAACTTGATCAAGGGTGGACTTGGGCTTCATTATACACATAAACTTGAAAGAAAGCAATGCAGCATCTTGGCTGTGATGTTCTCCATTCCGAGTTGTTGGTCATAGCCAATCACAATGCCACTAAGTCTGTTGCTTAGTCCCAGTGCTGTGGAAAATTTTGTAGGTGGTCTTTCTCATCCAGTCTTCCAAGGCTTCGTTTTATCACTCCCTGTTGTTCTCCTTTCCAAATTTTGTGTTCTTTTCTCTTACTTTCATTTTAGCAATTGCCCTGGAATGTTCTCCCTCACCACATCCTTCTCCTTTACTTTTTGCCTCCAGTGTAACAGACTTCTGAGACAATGACAGTGATATTTTTACATTTGTTAATACAGAGTTTGAAAAGAATGCAAATGACTGAATTTATTGTCTCTTCTTCTTCTTCTTCTTTTTAATGTTCTGTCCAAGGAAATGCAAGCAGGAGTTAATAGCTGTTGTATAAAGCTGGGGAGCTCTGGTGGTGTAGTGCCTAAGGCATTTGACTGCTACCCAGAAGGCTGGTGGTTCAAACCCACCAGCCACTCCTTGGAAGGAAGGTTGGGGAATCTACTTCCGTAGTGATACTGCTTCAGACACCCAAGGAGGGGTTGCTATGAGTCAGATCCTCTATGAGTTTGGTTTTTTGGTATATAAAGCTGGCACCATAGGGTGGTGGGATGAGCACTCAGCCAAGAGTTAGGCATACTGAGTTTACCAGTAACTCACTGGGTATCCTAGGGCAAACCACTTAAACTCTCTGGGCCTTAGTTCCCACATTACTCAAGGAGATGACTTTGTTATAAAATATCCATTTGAATTTAACATTCAAGGAAAATTTTATCTGCTTCCTCTGTTATCTAATGCTGAATTGTTAATACCTTTCTTTGATTGTTCTTCACACTTTAAAAAATTAACTTTGCTTTTGTCCTTAGGCTGAAGAGTGAAAAATGGATGAATGTGAAAGTGGGAGACATCATTAAATTAGAAAATAACCAATTTGTTGCTGTGAGTATTTAACATTGTTTAAAGAACTTATCTGATATTACAATAGCACATGTATTTACATTTGCAAATTTGGTAAATCCATACTAGTTTAGAGTAATTATGGAGGGAAGACCAGTATATATTAGGAAAATTCTCAATTATAAAATGTTTTAATTGATTAATTAATGTTTAATGTATTTTTGATAACATGGTAATTCAGATAAGGCTGCATGATTACCACCTGATATATATCCTTTGGTATGTTATAAATTAATAGATACAAAAGATTTAAATCAAGATGTCAATTGTTTTATGTAAGTAAAAGTTTTTAAAATGTTCATGTTGTTGTTGTGTGCCATCGAGTCGGCCCGACTCACAGAGACCCCTCCTTGGGTTTCCGAGGCAGTATCACTACGGAAGTAGGTTGGGGAATCTACTTCCGTAGTGATACT